GCAGCCATACTGGGAAACAGTCAAGCCATTCCTCAAAAAGTTAAACATAGACTTACCATCTGACCTAGCAATTCCATTCCTAGGTGTTTACTAAGACAAATGCAAGCATATGCACACTTAAAAATGTGTATACAGATATTCACAAAAGCATTATCCACACCAGGTAAAAAGTAGAAACTCAAATGTCTATCAACCAGTACACAAAATACTGTACATGTTAATATGTATATGAACTTTGAAAACATTTTGTAAGTGAAAAGAAGCCAGTCAGAAAAGACCACATATTATATGCATCCATCTATATGAAATGTCCAGAGTAGGCAAATCCACAGAGACAGAAACTAAATTAATGGTTACCAATGTCTGGCATGGGGATCAGGAATGAAGAGTGATAACTGTTAAAGGATAAGGGGTATCTTTACTAAGTGATAAAAATATTCAAAAATTAGGTTGTGGGTGGTTGCACCACATATTAAAAACCACTTAAGTGTTCATGTTAAATGAGTGGATTCCATGATATGGCAACTGTATTTTAATACAGCTATATAAATAATTAATGGAAAGCTAGCATATCTCCTCTTGTCTGGTTAGTTCTCACTTTGTCACCTCCATTTCTTCTTGATTCCCCTTTTCTTTATACCTGACTCCACTCCATCATTCACTAATTTCCTCTCTCCCTCCTATCACCCATCACCACAGTTGTTCAGATAGAAGCAATCTTGTCAGCAACACTCAGTCAGAGGCTTGGCTAAGCAATGTACCCACAGCAAAAGACTATGCCACCCTCCCTTCAGAAAACTCACTTTAATAACTCAAGCAGTGAAATGAAAAAGTATGAATTTAAAGTTTTATAAAACCACTTCTGGGAAAGGGGAAGACTATAGCAAATAGCCACAGAATGCTTATGTTTCAAAGTGTGGGGCACATCAACACCATTTTTATTCAGTCAGTAGGCAGTGATTACTATGCTTACTTTGAACATTTAACAAATATTTACTGAACATTTATTATGTACCAGGATGTGTTCCTGATGCTGATCATATTGCAGTAAACAAATAAAAAACCACAAAAAGATAGAAAATCACTAATCACTGAGCTCACAGACAAAATGAAATATAAAAAAAGAGTAAAACCTAAAGAATATTAATTGGTGGTAAGTACCATGCAAGAAAAACAAAGCAGAAAATGACAAGAAGGGAATGATGAAGGAGAAGGAAGGTTACAATTTAAAATACCATGGCCCCACTGACATGCACTCTGACTGAAAACTTGAAAGAGATCAGGACGTCTTGTGCCAAAGTCCTGAGGCAGCTATGTGTCTGGGTACCATAGTGGCTGGAGCAGAAAAACCAGAGCAGGCAGTTGAGGCAGCTGAGTTGAGAGGAAAATGAGGTCTGATCCTGGTGAGGCCCCTGGGTTACATAAGGGCTTTCTTTGCATCTTCCTCTGATGAAGATGGGGAACCACAAGAGGGTTTGAGTAGAGGAGCCTACATAAGAAATATGACGGCGCACAACAAAGCCTGGGGCCCCTTTCTTCTGTCATCTCTGAACCACAACTGATTGTATTAAGGGTGAACATCTGATCCCAAAAGAACTGAGCCAGTCACTGATGGAACCAATCAAAATTCATCCCCTCTCCAAAATCTAACCTAAACACGAGATAAAATTAGCCAGTGTTGGGACTTAAGTAAAAAATCATAAAGAATTCAAGGCTGGGGGACAGCTACTTCTATTAGTGTAGGCAACTAGTTAGTTATTAACAAAGGAAGGGAGAAAATACAATTAGGCAGACACCGACCTGGATTAACTAGGAAGGGGCAGCTTCACAATCTGAGCATCTGAGTGGACAGGAAAGGTCAGCTTTCCAATCTCCCTAGGGAACAGCTGCTCCACCAGCAGCTGAGGCATGCACAGTAGGAGTTAAAATAGTGACCATAAAAGGCAGGAGTCTAACCTGGGAAAATGTGGGGAAAGGACGGAATAGGATAAGGGTACAAACCTGGGAAAATCACTGGCCAGGAGAAAGCACCACATAACCCTGGGGAAGATCCAGGAAAGACCGTGATTAGTTTCAACGAAAGCCTTCTCTCTCCAAAGCCCAAGGAGACATAATCAAACCTTAACAAAGGTTGATGGGGGCATGCTTTCTTGGAGAGGGCACTCTCTCTCCTTAACAGCCATGTGTGCCTAGGTGTGGCAGCTGCACAGGTGAAGCACAATGTTAAAAGCAGACTGGAAGGGAAGAGAGACTGTTCTGGACTACTGAAGCCTCAGCTGCCAATGCCACAGAAATAGCACAGCAGCTCTGGGCAGAAGCCCTGACCCTCCTCCTGGGCTTTGTATGGACAAGTGCAAGCCTGCAGCAAGATGGAGCTGAGCCATCTGGTTGTGGATGAGGCAGTGTGGTAGTCTCTTCAGAGGCATCTATGCTCTGCACACCCCTTGAATAAATCTTGCCACTATACCTCAAATCCTCCTGTGCATGTATCCTTGAAATGTGTTTCCTAAAATGCTGTGGAAGAATTCTATTTCCTCTAGCAATATTTCTTTGGCATGAACAACCAGAAGCCAAACTGAAAATTAATGCAGAAGACCAGCAGGAAGGAGCAGAGGCATGATGAGGAAGCCCCCAAAAATAGGAAGGAGAGAACAATCTGTTGATCTCATTATATAGCTTGAGGTACTGTACTTCTATCCTAGAGGACAAGAGATACCTAGGACTCAGGACTTTCCAATACATCTCACAGCTTGGCCTCTTTGTGTAAGTTTCTCATCCTTATAGTAATCAAATCCTTGACTTAGAAAGACAGTGAGCAATATTTTGTCACCCAAGTACCATATGGAACTAAAATGGGTGTCTGTTTAGCTTTAAGGATAACTCAATTCGAGTAACTCCTGAAACAAAGGATGGGCTGTGCAGAGGGGAATCTGGACACTATGCCTTTCCATCCTACTCCAGCTTCCTGCAGCTATTGCTAGAAACATTACGAAGTGCTCTTATCATAACTTATATAAAAACTCAGCAAGGTGCAATTCAATTACCCTATCCTTATTTTTTAATTTCCTCCCATGTCAGTGTCAAGAGAAAAGCTTTTAGCATATCCTGCAAGGTTAAAGAAATGTATTTAGTGATATTAAGTTATGTTACTTTTTTAAGATGAAGTTAATTAAACTGTGAAATACCGGTTTGGGGTTTACTAGGTGCTCAGTGTTTAAAGGTCTTGGAAGCATTCTTACCACAGACAAGCTGCAGTCTTGTCTCATTGAGAGCAACAAGGCCAGAGCTAACTGCTGTCCTCCCACCCATCCCCATGCTCTCCTCCTGGGCAGTGTGCCAAGAGAATACATGGGAGAAAAGCCAAGATTAGTGTCTCTCTGTCAACTCTAAATAGAACCTGTTTTGAAAGGCTGTTTCTGAGTCTAGAGGATGCAAGAAAAGGGAAGAATTATCATACAAGGTCTGGCTCACAGCATGCATCTGCCTGCCTTCTGCCTAGGGGCATGCAAGGCTGACTCTCAGCCAACATAAGCAACAGCTGCCACATAGTAAGTCTGCAGTGCTTTACCCACCATTCAGGACCCCACAGCTGCTCATCCTTAGGCTGTAACCAACAAGACCCCAACATAAGCTAATCTGCTAAACTACTGATTTATCTAATAGGATGGGTGAAGACTTCAGTAGTTACAATGACTGACAAATATGCACCAGTCTTATAGCACTCCAAAGACATGAGCTACTGCCCTTGAGAGGGGAATGCACTTCAGGTGTTCTCTCAACATCTCTGCAGAAACTTGGCAAGCTGCAGAAATGAAAATCTGACCTTCATACTAAAATATATGCTAAAAAATCTAAGCTTGATGTACGATCAGGTCAGTTAGGTCAGAATTCTCTTAGGAATTAAAGATTAAAAAATCACCACATGCCATGTGCAGTAGCTTCAAAACACATAATTTCTTCAGAGCATGAATTTTGGTAGTAATCTCATCCATGGTTTTATCTAATTTTTATACCCTTTTCTCTTCGATGCAATTTCCCCACATAAAAATTTCAACCCTGTTTGCTTTGTAAGAACTTGAAATCCTTTGGGATAACAAAGCTGAGCAATAAGTCTACTTCTTAATTATGATATGAGAGACTATAATTGTTCAAATTGCCTAATGATTACTTGTTGAATGTTTTACCACCCATTATGAAGAAATTAAACCAGAGAAGGAATGAACAAACAAAAAATGAATCAATGGATGAATAAACAAACAGGTTTACTGCTGCATTAGCTGAAGAGCACAAAACTCTTAGTGTGATAGAGACACAAAGGGTCCTCAAGTGACCTGTTTACTTTCTATTAGACAATAATCTCAGAAGCCCCAGGGAATGGCTTTCTGTCCCCTGTAGAACAACTCATTATCTGATTTGTGCACAATGTAAAAAGTCAGTGACAATGGGTTCCATTGTCAAATCTATTTCCCAAATAATATTTGACCTAAATAGTTACTAAACTTTTAAGAATCTAAACAGTATAGATTTTTATCTCTTACTTAAGTTTGAAAGTGCAGATTACCTCCACATTGTCTCTGAATATCTTACACATTACTTATACAAACTCAGAAAAGAGAAGGTAGCAGTATACACTCCTTCCTATATAGATATTCACGTAGGATGTATGTGCTTATCGTATCTTACAAATGTGGTTAAAACTTTTGTAGGAATCAACAACAGGGAAGCTGGGCATTTTGGGAAGCTGGGCAGACTTCTCTACCCCACTTCAGCTCCATGTTACTTACCTGCATTTAAGGTTTCAACATTTATTTGTTTTGAATATGACTGTATAACTGACTTTTGGAGGAGACTGTGAAACAAGACTTTACATGCTCTTTTAGAAGATCAATAATCTAACCTCCAAAGGAGAAACTGTAGTGCCCTTAGGCTACCTGATAGGCGTTCCTGTGCACATTCCACTCAACTACAAGATGCCTTGCAGTCATCCTGAGGGCACTCACCAGAGTGACAATGGCACATTCAGCCGTCAGCTGAGCAGCACTGAACAGTGTCCGAACAAACCGGTAAATCTGCTTCTGCTCTGGGTTGTGTTTGTCATAATCTGGTGGCACTTCGGATTTCTAGGGAAGAAAATATTTTCAGATGGCTGGCCACCTAATAAAAGCAAAAGCAAAATAACTAAACAATATCACAAAACACAAAAAGGAGTTTACCGAAAGAGGATGAAGGTTTTCATCAAAAATATCTAACAGCATCCTTCCATCTGGGTCCCTGGTAGGGAAAATGAATAGAAAATGGAGTTTACTTTCTGAAAAAATGAGTCTCATTCAAAATAAAAAATACATATTTTTTTATTCAAGTGTAATTTGAGAGAGAAGGCAGTGACTAATAATTTGTTTTACTTGGGTATAGTATTAGATAATTTTTAATAGACCATAAAATAAAGGTTATGAATTAACTTCAGTGAAAATATAAATTTTTATCTGCTGAATTTTCAAATAAACCAAATCTAAATTTCTTTTAACATCTTGTTCCTTGAGCAAAGGCTGACAGATCAGTTTAAACTATTAGTATGTTGTGGTTGACAAGAAGTCCAAGGGTAAAATGAAGTAAAATGAACATTGAATGTGTCCTAGAGATTAATCTGAACTTCTTACAACACACAACTTAACCATTTAATTAAGAGTTCCATGATTTTATATTGAAAAACCAAAGGTGATGCATAGAAAAGCTTAGCTCAATAACAAGTAAACCTATAAAAGAATGGCTGGTTGCTACCAGGCTGGTACGGGAGCCAGGTAAAACGGTGGCTTCACTGTAACACAGTGCCTCAAGCAGCTGCCTTTCAAGGACTATCCACACCTCACCATAGACAGCTCTACTTTTCATGGGGTCAATGTTGAGTTTTGCCTAAAAATTTTTCTTTAAAAACCACATTTGGAAACCACTGTTCCTGGTAACAGTATATCATTTCCATAGTCTGTGCTTCCAATGTCAATTAGGCTTGTGAACACCAGAAATCGACAGACATGTCCCTAACCATGGTGGTGGTTAGGGACAACCAATTGTGGTGTTTACCGACAGCCATGGTGGTAAACATCACAATTTCTGCTCTATGAATTCACTGTCTACATAAAAATAAAAGAGAAAGAGAGATATTAACAGAAAGGCTTGATTTGCATTACTATTTGTTTTCAAAGCTTTGGGCATTCATACCCATGCTCATTTTCATTAGCCTGAGGGAACACATGTAGCAAAGATTTAGATAAACAACAGTAAAAGACAGGTTCAAACAGGCAGAACCTGAAACTAGGGTCTGAAAACATAAAGCTGGCTCCTTTTGGTATACCTGGTGATAATTCCTTTTATAAAACCTGGCTATGAAAAATCAGCTAATTACTCACCTCACAACTGCCTCTGCAAGATATTCAAGGTACTTTTGGAGAGACAAAGCCTGGCCCAACACCACATTTCTTTGAGCTGTTTAGCCCTGTTCAATTTTTCTGATGAATGAGAGTCCCTAAAAAGCCTTTCAACAAGCACTCTCAAGAAACATTCACCAGAAGTAATTGTAAAAATGAAAATGTAGGTTCAAGACATGAAAAAAGATTAAGAATTTAAGCTAAAATGACTCCTCTGAGAAGTGGATTTTCCTTTCACCTCCATTAAAAGTGGTGTGTCTCAGCTGAATAGTACTATCTCTACCAAGCTAATGGATCCATCACCAGCTCCACAGGTTTGTCAAATGTGATTTATCAAGGAGAAAGTCTGCAGACATTCAATGCCACCTCATCCCAAAAGGCCTTCAGGATATACTCTGTAAATCAGTCATACCTGTTTACAAATGCTCAATTGGACTTTGTCACTTCCATTCACTTACTTTTGGCCCAGTTTATCAGCACTGGGCCAGTAGAGTGATCAAAAGTATTGGCAGTATATTGTTCGGGTTCAATTCCCCATCCCTCAATTAACTAGCTATGTAATCTTAGGCAAGTTATTTCACCGCTCTGTGTCCCAGTTTCTTTATCTGTAAAATACAGACAATATCAGTATCACCTCAGGAAGCTATTAAAAAAAAATGGGATGATGCATGTAAAGAGCTGTTGCCCAGGGTGGCCAGAGTATGCACTTAATAAAACTGGCTCTTATTATCAGCTATGGCTATAAATTAACTCTGGGGTCCGTAACTGAGAAATCACCCAGAGATGCTAATGCAAAACTGGTTGGCCCCAGAACACATCTAAGTTCCATGAATGGTACTACATTGTAATTTAAGACTTAAATGTTTAAAAAGTTTTAACAGCTTACATAGAAATAAGCAGCAAAACAAAACGTGTACTTTCATTGATGTTTTTCTGGTTAAGGTTCAAAAGTCCAGTAGCCTACATTTTGTAAATTTTTAAATCCAAAATTCTCAAGCACTATAAAGAACCATGAATCATAATTACAATACAGAAAAAAAAGCCACTACAGACAATACATTTCCATTTACCTTTTCCTGTAAAACTTTTCAGTAGACGCTGTCTCTAATCTCCACTGCACTGGTTTACACTTCACTGGCTTATCTCCACTCTCCCTTTTTCCCTTTGTGAAACACACTGAACACCCACTGAAATCCATTCTAACCATGAGGTGGTTGGGCTTGTTCCCAACAATGGGTCACACCAGTGTAAAAGAAAAAAAATAAAGACAAAAAAAAAAGGCCCAAATAGAGTCACTTTCCTAAGCCACATCACCAAACTAATTAACCTAACTAGTTTCATTTCAGCCTCTCCTAGGAGTGGAATTTTAAACCAATCAATCTGGAATTTCCTATGAGCATTAGAGAAGGAATCTGCTTCCCCTAAAGACTGGTGTCACCTCCTGAAATAATCCACTCTTTTAACTTCTTAATCCCACCCTTTTCTGCCTATAAAAACTTTCCATGTTGTATAATCCCTGCAATGTTCTAGTTGCTAGATGGGCTGCTGCCTGATTTATGAGTCACTTAATAAGGCTAATTAGATCTTCAAGTTTACCGGGTACAATTTTGTTAACACAAGTTGTAGTTGTTATTAGATTCATATAGCATAAATGTCATTTAATCAATGAAATAAGACTGCAATAAGAAGAGCTTTGTTTTTATAAAAATGAAGAAGGATGCTTTGGAAAGACCCCAAAAAAGGGTATCACTAAAAATAAATTCATTTGTAGATTAGTTGTGGTCAAAACCTGAAGGATTCCATGCTCTGATTGTTGTGCAAATGTCTTAAGTGTCCTTGATATTGATTTTTTAAAAAACCCCACTATGGAAAAGGATAAATTACAGGTGTGGTTTACAAAAGAAACTCTGGTACTTTCTCTAATCAATGCTCCATGCTCAAAACTAAAGTCTTGATGCTGCATTAAAAGACTGGTAAATGAATGTACTTTCACATGTTTTATGTTGAAATATTAATGGTAAAATTTTAAATTTTTCTTCGATTCTCTGTTTTAAGTGACTTTTTAAGTTAACTGAATATCTTCAGAGTCATATCAGACAGATGGTTTCTACTACATTAATATAATTTATACCAAAATTTCCTATACTAAAATTGAAACACTAGTTTTTCAAGTTAAACTTGCATATAGTACATTTTTTAAATTATATTTTATAAAGATACAATGTTTAAAGAGTAAAGAGGAAGTTGAACATTATCAAGAAGATTTGTTTGTTTTGCTGGCTTCAAACATAGACACCCATCTGATTTCCTCGGATTCAGAAACCATTCAGCACTTACCTGGGAAGTTTTGGTAAATTATACTAACTTTAGAAATTCTATGAAAATAATGAAGACCAAAACAGCTAGAACATAATAGGAAAAAAATAACAGAAAAAACATAAAATGTAATGTTTTTAATACAAAAGTAATCATCCACATACCTGTTTTTGATGTGATAATATATTGCGAGAGCTACACTGTAAAATAAAATGCAGTTCAATGTTTCATAAATATATTCAAGTCTGACCATAAATATTTAAATTTAAGTAAGTCAAAAGATCCATCTGAACAGTCCCATTTAATTCAGAATGCCAAATTTTAAAAAATGTCCTCTTTAAAGTAAATTATCCTGCTACTCCTTCTTAGCAATTATTAAATCTTTTCCAGAAATACCAAAACTTCAAGTGATGTTTAAAAATTTCTCTATCTGAAATCTTAAGCTTTTTCCTCACTTGTAAAATATAGGCACTGTGTAAAAAAACAGGTGGTACAAATTAAACACCTTTAGAAACCTCCAACTCAGTATCTAGTATTTTTAAAAAATCACTGGTTTCTTTATAACTACCAGAAAAATGTGAATATCACCCACAGTGGTTTGATATTTTTTCCTCTTAAATCAATAACCCCCTGGCAATCTGCCTACTTACTCGCTTGCTGAAATGGTGCTATTCTTATGTGTTACATGACCTTAAAATTTCATTTTATACTTTTAAAAGATCTTAATTTAATGAAGACATTTCCTTCCCGTGACGTTTTCTAATGCTTTCTGATTATAAAATGTATCATATTCATAGGATAAAAATTTTAGAAAATATAGGAAGTATAAATAAAATCCTTTGCCCAAAGATGACTATTAGCTTGAGATACACAGACTCTATACATTATATGAGTAAACAAACAGATTTGCAACCTACTTTTATCCTCACTAACATTTTTCTTACCATTAAATGTTCTTTAAAAACATAATTTTAAATGGCTATGTTCTATCATATAGTTGTTGAATAATTGACCATTCTCCTCCTACTGAGCATGTTTCTAATATTTTGCAATTATAATTAACAGTGTAATACACATCCTCAGAGATAAATATTTGTGCAGCCTGTGACTACATTATTTCCATAAGAGAACATCATGTAACTGGAATTAATCTAAAGTCTTACAATTAATCTAAATAATTGTAAGGCTCCCCACATACATCACCAAATATCCTTGCAAAAAACTGTACCACTATACTTGCCCACCAGTGTGTATTTCACCTCACTCCTACCAGCACTCACCTTAAATGTTTTGATAATATTCTCCAACTATGTAGGTTAAAAAGTGGTGCCCCTGTTTTCAGTTTGAGTTTCTCTGATAACCTATCAAAGTGGCAGAATTTTCATGTTGACTGGCCAATTTTACAAAATCTCTTTTGTAGAGAGTAGCTCCTTCCACTACTTCTGCTTTACTTTAAAATTTATTGAGGAGGCCAACATTCATTTTTTAAGCTCTTAAGAACATAGTTAACTAGCTGTATCAGACTGTGTTCTGGTTCTCAGAACACAGAGACTGCCATCCAAGGCACTGTCCCTCAAGGGCACCCACTTGGATACTTAGGCATACCTACTGGATTCCAAGAACTCAGGTGCTTACCTCTGACGTCACATGACAATAGCTAATCTCACTGTATATAAAGAAAACATATTCCTCCCATCTTTCTCTTTCCAGATCTATTCATTCAAATGATTTCAGTTAAGTGTTAAAAGTTAAAAGTTTCAGTTAAGTGTTAAATGTCATTTGTTCATGAGCAAATGATAATACATTCTCTTTCTCCTAACATCTTGAAAAAAATTTAAGCTGATAAAAAAATTCTAAGTAAGGTAAAAAAGCTTCAGTAATTTAGAAAATAATAATATGGTCTTCAAAGTGCTTTCACATATATGAACCAGCCCTACAATGGAAAATAGATGTTACTGATTCTATTTTATAAATGAGAAAATTCAAGTTCAGACACCAGATGCCAGGATTTCTAATTTGTATGGTTTTGTGTCCTTTCATTCACCATGCTGCCTCTGGGAAAAGGAAACAAATACTGTTCTATTCACGCTGTTGTGATTGCTCTTCTAATCTAATGTTAGATTTAAGCCGAACATTTCATATGATTGGATTTGTAGCGATTAATCATTTCGCTTCTCCTGTGAGGGAATGTGACACAGGACAACTGTCACTGGACTGGGAATTGGAGGAACCTGGTTCAAACATGGCTCCTTCACCTCTCAGGGCCTTCATTTCCTAATGTTGAATATTAGGACCATTCAACCTATGAGGAGTGACCCCAAAATCCCAGAATTTACTTATAAAAGATGATGTATTTATTCTTACATGTTTAAACTTCTGTCACTTTCAAAGTAGCTTCCATTTGATGTAATACCCCTATTGAGACATTTTTTCCACTGCTCAAAACACTTTTTGAACTCATTGATTCTGATGTCTTCTTAGTGTTTCTGCCATTTTTTTATTGTTGTTTCACTTCTTTTACATTGGCGAAACACTGCCCTTTGAGGACTTTTTCCCACCTGGGGAAAAATTCAAGTCGCTGGGGTAAGATTAGGTGGATATGGGGGTGGGGCATGGGGGGTCATGCTGTTTTCAGTCAAAAACTGCTGAACACTCAGCACAGTGTGGACAGGTGCACTTATAAATCACCCATCATAAAGTGAGTAGATGTGTTAAAGGAGTCTTAAAAAAAAATTTCACTTAAGCCACAGATTCTCACAATGCCAGCTGGTACACTGACACAGATGGGTTCCTGAAGCACTCACCTAGTGGGGGAAGCCTGTACTACAAGGGGCCACCTTCCAGGAGATGACTGTTTTTTTCTGGGTCCCACCTCATACAATATGGAGTTGTTATAACCAAATTAAATATATAACAGCATGATCGCAAATATAAAGTTCTAAAACTAAAGTTATTATCACTGTGATTTCCCTATCAATAATTCTATCTCAAGAGGTCTATCAGCTTCTGCAGAAAAATCTTCAGGACCCCAGAGTTACTATCCGCCAAATTTCCAGAGCCAAAGGCAAAATAGAACATTATCGTGGTCTCAGACCTCCATGAAAAATAGAGCCACTAGGGTAGGAGGGGAGTATGGAGGGGGCAAATGCAGACAACTGTACTTGAACACTAATGTAATTTTTTTAAATAAGAGAAATAGAGCCACTATATAAGACAATTTCCACTCAAGATCATATCCCAGAAAGCGAGAAAACCAACCTGAGAATTCATGTACAGTACAGCCCCATGGGCCAGTTTAGTTGGTTATCTTGAAAGAAGTGATAGCTGGCAGTAAAGTTCAGTCACTTGAAAGCTGAATCAATCTCTAGCTTCAGGCTCTGCTCCAAATGCCTAACCTACCTTTGGAGGCCTGGTCATTTCTGCTACATCTTCAGAAAGTGGTGAGGTTTCACCAAAGATGGGCTTGGGCCAAACCAAAAATACATTTGGGTCAAAGGATTTGCTTAACTGCTTTTGCCACATAGCTACAAAGGAAGAAATGCTATTTTCTTGACTAAAGAAACAGAACAGATTGTGATCATTGGTACTATACTTGTCTTACTTTTCACCTAAAACGAAATCAGCAAAGTAGATGAGGATCCTAAGATCTCAGAAGATTAAGAGGCTCTGAACCACAGAGAGAGAGAGGCAGGTAATGAATCAGTGCTCTTTGACCCTATTGGCCAGCTGTGTGAAGAGGGTTCCCCATTCTCCCTCCAACCTTTGTCATCATCATTCCTTTGCTCCTTACAAGGATTTGGGGGAGGAGTCGGTTGGTAAGCACTAAATTCATACTACACCTATTGGTATTTAGAGGAAAGATGGGAAAATCAAGTTCTCCAAAAATAAACAATGCCTATGAAAACAATGAGCATAGAGTGAGGGCCCAAATCTTCAATACTTAAGCCTTTCTTTCACTGATACAAAAGCCCTCAACTCTCTACCGACTCCCTAACTAAATTTGTAAATATGTTTGTTCATTTTTGCAATTCATCAATTTAAAGAAGCATTTTCCTTTAAAAATAAGAATAGAAATTGGTTGTTCAGAACTTAGAGCATTTTCTCAAACCAAAAAGATCATACATGGTTTTCAGGAAGCAAGTTCAGCACCATGCCCACAACAAAGCTGAACTACAGTATTACTGACTGTGTAATCCATTGTAATGTCTAGGAAAGGGAACCAAAGGTTTCCTTTGACAGGCACAAGGTAAAGTTTAGGCAAAATTTTAGAATAGGAGGGCATTCAGACTTAGCCTCTTCCTACCCCCTTATATTTTCAGAGCTCACAGGTACAATAGGTACATTTTCTCCCTTTTCCTTTTTTGTTAAAAATATTTATTTATTTATTTATCTTTTTTTAGAGGGGAAGGAGAGAGGGAGAGAAACATCAATGTATGGTTGCCTCTAGTGCGTCCCCTGCTGGGAACTGGCCTGCAGGGAACTGGCTTGCAACCCAAGCATGTGCCCTGACTGGGAATTGAACTGTGAGCCTCTGGTTCACAGGTTTGTGCTCAATCCACTGAGCTACACCAGCCAGGGCCTCCTTTTCCTTTTTTAAATTAAGTATATTTTATTGATTATGCTATTACAATTATTCCATTTGTTTCCCTTTTGCCCCCTTCCACCCAGTACCCCTACTCCCTCCAGCACTCCTCCCACTTAGTTCATGTCCATGGGTCATACATATAAGTTCTTTGAATTGTACATTTCCCATACTATTCTTAACTTTCCCCTATTTTCTACCTACCGTTTATGCTACATATTCTCTATACTTTTCCCCTCTCTCTCCCCCTCCCCAACTGATAACCCTCCATGTGATCTCTATTCTGTGATTCTGTTCCTGTTCTAGTTGTTTGCTTAGTTCATTTTGGTTGTTTTTTTTCTTTTTTTGGTTTGGTTGTTGAGAGTTGTGAGTCTGTTGTCATTTTACTGTTTTGATCATCTTCTTTTTCTTAGATAAGTCCCTTTAACATTGCATATAATAAAGGCTTGGTGATAATGAACTCCTTTAGCTTTCCCTGTCTGAGAAGCATTTTATCTGCCCTTCCATTCTAATTGATAGCTTTGCTGGATAGAGTAATCTTGGATGTAGGTCCTTGCTTTTCATCACTTTGAATACTTCTAACCAGTCCCTCTTGTCTGCAGGGTTTCTTTTGAGAAATCAGCTGACAGTCTTATGGAAACTCCTTTGTAGGTAACTTTCTCCTTTTCTCTAGCTGCTTTTAAAATTCCCTATCATTTTAATTGACATGTCTTCACATGGCCCTCTTTGGGTCCAACTTCTTTGTGACTATCTGTGCTTTCTGGACTTATATGTCTATTCATCAAATTGGGGAAGTTTTCTTTCATTATTTTTTCAAATACGTTTTCAATTTCTTGCTCTTCCTCTTCTCCTTTTGGTACCCCTATGATTCGAATGTTGGTATGTTTAAAGTTGTCCCAGAGGTTCCTAAGCCTCTTTTCATTTCTTTGAATTCTTGTTTCTTCTTTCTGTTCTGGGTGAATGTTTATTTCTTCCTTTTGTTCCGAATTGTTGATTTGAGTACCGGCTTCCTTCTCGTCATTGTTGGTTTCCATTATGTTTTTCTTTATTTCACTTTGCATAGCCTTCACTTCTTTACTTTGTGGCCATACTCAACCATTTCTGTGAGCATCCTGATCAGTGTTTTGAACTCTGCATCTGATATGTTGGCTATCTCCATGTCACTTAGTTCTTTTTCTTGAGTTTTGATCTGTTCTTTCATTTGGGCCGTATTTCTTTGTCACCTCTATTTGACAGCCTCCCTGTATTTCTGTGTATTAGGTAGATTTGCTTTGACTCCCTGTGCTGGTACACTGTAAGGAACACAGCCTTAGGTATTCGCCAGGTCAGGACAAACTGCTTCGCTGCTTTGTGGCACTGTATGTGGGGGAGGGGTCAGAGAGGGAACAATGCTGCTTCCTCAGCTCTTGCCCCATTTAAACGGACTGTCCTGAGAGACCGGCAGTTTCTTCTGCCATTGCAACCCCCACTGGTTTTTACACCCAGAGGTTATTAAGCTTTCTTTTTCCCTGCACTGGAACCCTAGGCTGTTTGGTCTGGGTTTGACTGGGATCACTCACTCCTCAGTTGTCCCTCTTGGTTTTTATCTGCCACACATGAATGTGAGACTACCCATTCTGCTGCCTGCCACTGCCACCACTTTGCCATGTGTCCTCTCTGCCCTGGTTGCCCATCTCCACCCCTCCCACCCATCTGGATGAATGTTTCTTCATTAACTCTTTGGTTGTCAGACTTCCATACAGTGTGATTTCCTGGAAGTTCTGATTGTTTTTTGTTTTTTAATTGGTTGTTATCCTTCTTATTGTTGTATGAGGTAGCAAAGTATGTCTACCTAAGCCTCCATCTTGGCCTGAAGTCAGTAGGTAAATGTTTAAAAGCAGGGTCCTTTTTAAAACAACTAAGCTACTGACTGAAAGAATTTCAAATTTAGGTGGTACAGAAAGAATGTCTTTTGGACCTGGGAAGCCATAGTACCCACACTGAAAGTTTTGTTTCAAAAGTCAGCCATCTTAACTGACCTAACTTTTCAGCTTCTTTTCCCACCAGTTACCTATAGTTTATTTACAACTTTCAAGGAAACTTTAATAATGGGGGAGAGCAGCTATCTACCTATATCAGGGTCCTCAACACTAGCTGCCCATTAGAATCTCCTAGAGACTCCACAAAATCCATATATATACCAAATCTGTGGGGAGAGACATCAAATGTCACTGTGTTTTTAAGCTCCAAGGTGACTCCAGGCACAGCTGGGGCTGGTACCACTGATTTACACAGATGCATAGTTGTAACAGGTGATTGTACCTCCTAGATGAGACACTACAATATCAAATTGTCACTGTGTTCTCCCACCCACTCCTAAATGTCCATGTCATAACCAGTGGGAATTTTAATTCATCCAAGGACAAAGCATTGAGCAACTTATTCAGATCCACTTATAAATTCCAAGAGCTCTCGCTGACCCTAAAGGAGAAAGCACCTTCTGCTCTGCCTTCCTTCCCATGAAGATGATTCCAAGACTAAAGGAATTTAGCAACTTTTGCTCTGAGCTCCAGAGCTTCAGGAGCTGCCCATAGCCATATGGTGTACATATCTTCAGGATTTTCCACCTTTCTTCACAACTGCCAACAATTTACTCTGGAAAATGCTGCCATTTCCCATTTCCCCACAGTATACCTAGGCACAAGGGCAAGAGTGGCTCAGCCAAGGACATGTGTTGGGAGCTATGCTATCCATACCTCTTCCCAGCAATAGCAGCTGACTGGGTTTATGCTTACTTGTCACTGACCATACCCCTTATCACCAAAATGCTGAGGAAATAAGCAACATTCCCATTTAGAGCCTAGGAATATCAACCCCACAAAAGACAAGTCAGCAGCCTCCCTCCAAGTGCCCTCACATCCACCTTCCCCTGAAGTGAAGTCTGTCCACAGAAGACGGTGATAGTCCTCACTGCCTGCCTGAGGCTATGACTGACTGTCACATGTGGTAACATTCAGAACACGGCTTTAGCGTCAAAACCTGGTCCATTGAAAGAGAACACTTTCTATTAAGAAATGTAAACACTTATTTCAAACACTAACAGGAACTGTTGTTAAATATGTATTTTCTTAAACATAAAGATAAAATATCCCAGATTTTTCACAGATGAGCTGAAGACCATAGGACCTAGCATATCAGGTTCTCTGTGATCTCATCAAAATACTAGTGGCAACATTACAGGAGAAGCCTCTTCCCTACCATTTCAAAATATGGAAACTAAAGTCCAAAGGGAAAGAATTTTATACCAAGACTCCTTGCCTTCCTTAAACCCCATTTGAAAATAAGATTACAAAGAGAAGGGTCTTACTCAAATCCTCCCTGTTGGTGACAGAGCAGAGGTCAGAACTCAGATTGACTGTGGGCAAGGACACTTTCACTACGTCAGGCCTGCTCTCTACTGTAGCCAAGTCTTAAACTGGAATCCTGTATTACTTTGAGGGTAAACTATTAGCAGATTTATGCAAAGATGAATTTAATAAAAAGTGAGAAGGTAGAAAGTATGCCCCCAAATAAAAAATATCCTTTAATCTACATTCAAAACATTAAAAAATTTGGGCTTTTCATATAACTGATAATATGAAGAAATATTTTGAATACCTCACATTTTGACTAATCTTTTAAAAAATCACTTTTTAAAAAGATTATCCATAATCAATGGCCTTCTCCTGACAGACTCCAAAAACAACCAGTTAGCCATCAAGTTAAGAAATAGAAAAAGCATTTGGATGAGCAAAAATCTGTATACCCACCATTTAATTGTATACTTGAGGTTTGGTTGACTGACTGTGCTATCATCTAGGAAAATTGTGGAGCAGGAGCTGTATTTCCTTGCTGTTTGTCCTGGAGGATGCTGGAAAACAATGGCAACAAGACAATGACAATTAAACAGGGTTCAAAATTCTTCCAGAGATCATCCCTTTAAACTTGAGACCAGGTCACAGAGGAAAAATGCCTTAGCCAGAAATGTTAATACTACCAGCGAGAACAATATAAAAACATTTTCTTGATACAGTGAAATTTCTTGTTCTTCCCATACATAAAAGTCACCACCACCACTCCTAATCTCAAACCTCTTTCATGAGAAAAACAGAACTCTTACGATCAAGCATCGTTCATAAAAATCACCTGCTCCAGAGCCTGTGTGAAACAAGTAGACTGCTAATTATACCACCTGAGAGTGCTGAGAGACAACCACACATTGATGTTCCCCAATTAAGGAAATGTCCTCGTTTTATGAACCAAGAGTTCACTGTACTCCTCTCTATTCTTGGAGTACAGAGTATTTGGTGGCAATGGAAAATGCAGCCAATATTATTTTAGAATCTCCTAGTTAATCTGCTTAAATTTCAAAAGGTGAGGCTATAAAGAAATAAAAGTGGGGGACTTTCAAGATCCGGTGGACCAGGACGGAGCAGATACCAGTTCCTAGTACAAAAGGAAGAGAAACCTGTCCGATCGGAGGAGGTGAAAGCAGCAAGCCAGCAGTTGCCAACCATATATGAAAATAAGAGACCAGAAACCCCATCGGTCACGGAGGAACCAGACATAATCTGTTATTTCTTTTAAATTTTATTACTGTTTCATCTTTCCATACTTTTGTCCTCTTTTCCTGGATTTTCTGTTTTATTTCTTCTTCTTTTCTTTCTAAACTTATTGCTCTTTCTTCCACTCCCCTACCCTTTTTTTTTCTTTCTTCCTTTTATTTCTTTCCTTGTCATTTCTTTCTTTTACCCACAAGAGTCACAATCAACTTGAAAATATGAAAAGACTAGAGCTGGACCCATAGAAGAGGCCTCCCAATAGTAGAGTCAGAGAGACAAATTCCACATTGCTGTAGGAGAGAAGCCAAAAGTTGCTGCATATTTGAGTAGGTGGAAGCAGAGAACAACAGGATAACCAAAAGAGACTGCACCACTGAAATTCACAGGCATTCCACCACAAAAGTTCACACCATGAACCCAGGGTGTCAAAACAGATTAATCTAAGAAGCTGAGGCTAACAAGAAGAATCTCACAAACAATGGGAAGAAAAAGAAACAATCCCTAAATGAAAGAAAAGGAGGAACCCTCAGAAAGAATGTTAGATGAAATAGAGGGAAGTCAACTGTCAGATACTGAATCCAAAGCACTGATTATCAGGAAGTTCAAAGAGCTCACAATGAGCTACCAGAAACTACAGGGGAGCTATAATGATCTCACCACGAACTATATCAACATGAAAAAGGAAATGGAAATTATTAGCAAGGGTCAAGAGGAAATGAAGAATACAATTTCTGAATTAAAAAACACAGTAGAAAGCATTGAAAATAGGGTAGATCGGATTAGTGAATTGGAGGACAAAGTAGAAAGCATCTCACAGAAAGAACAGGAAAGGGAAAAGAGGCTCAGAAAGAATGAAGAGGGATTAAGAGAAATGCAAGACAATAAGAAACGTAATAATATCTGAATAATAGGAATACCAGAAGAAGAAGAAGAACAAGGGATAGAAAACATATTTGAAAGAGTAATGAGAGAAAATTTTCCTAATTTGATAAAAGAAAAAATCACACAAATCCAGGAATCACACGGAGTCCCATTCAAGAGGAACCCAAGGAGGCCCACTTCAAGACACATCATCATCAAAATGGCAAAATTCCAAGACAAAGAGAGAATCTTAAAGGCAGCAAGGGAGAAAAAAGAAGTAACATGCAAGGGAGCCCCAATAAGGTTAGCTACTGACTTATCAATGGAAACACTCCAAGCCAGAAGAGAATGGCAAGAAATATTCCAAGTAATGAGAACCAGAGACCTACAACCAAGGCTACTTTACCCAGCAAGGCTCTCAATCAACATAGAAATCCAAATAAACAGCCTCCAGGACAAAAGAAGTCTAAAAGAATATGCCTCCACCAAAGCAGCCCTACAAGAAATACTAAAAAACCTGCTTTAAAGAAAGGAAGGAAAAGAGAGAGACAGAGAGGAACACAGGTACAAAAATGGCAATGAATAAGTACCTACCAATAATAACCTTAAATGTAAATGGATTAAATGCTCCAATCAAAAGACACAGAATAGCTGCATGGATAAGAAAGCATGACCCACATATATGCTGCCTACAAGAGACCCACCTCAGGACAAAAGACCATCACAGACTAAAAGTGAAAGGCTGGAAACAAATTTTCCAAGCAAATGGACAAGAAAAAAGAGCTGGGGTAGCAATTCTCATACCAGACAAAATAGACTTCAAAAAAAGAGCCATAAAGAGTGACCCAGAAGGTCACTTCATAATACTCAAGGGAAGAATCCACCAAGAAGACATTAACATCATAAATATATATGCACCCAACATAGGAGCACCAAAATATATAAAGAAAATCTTAGAGGAATTCAAGAAAGATATAGACAGCAACACAATTATACTGGGGGATTTTAACACCCCACTATCAAAAATGGACAGATCTTCTAAACAAAATATCAACAAAGACATTGCGGCATTAAACAACACCCTTGATGAAATGGACCTAAATGATATATACAGAGCTCTTCACCCCAAAGAAGCTATATACGCATTCTTTTCAAATGCACATGGAACATTCTCAAAGATAGACCACATGATAGGACACAAAACAAGCCTCAACAAATTCAAGAATATTGAAATCATACCAAGCATTTTCTCGGACCACAAGAGACTGAAACTGAAAACCAACCCCCCCCCCCCAAAAACCCAAAACACCCAAAATCATGGAGACTGAATGGTATGCTATTAAACAACGAATGGGTCAAGAATGAAATTAGGGAAGAAATAAAAAACTTTCTGGAAACAAATGAAAACGATCTCACAACAACCCAAAACTTATGGGACACAGCGAAGTCAGTCCTGAGAGGGAAGTTTATAGCAATACAGGCCTACCTAAAGAAGATAGAAACATTTCAAACAAACAACCTTACTCTACGGCTGCAAGAACTCGAAGAACAACAACAAAAACAGCCCAAAGCAAGTAGAAGGAAGGAAATAATCAAGATGAGAGCAGAACTAAACGACATAGAGACTAAAAGCACAATTCTAAGGATCAATGAATCCAGGAGTTGTTTCTTTGAAAAGATAAACAAAATAGACAAGCCTTTAAGTAGGCTCATCAAGAAAAGAAGGGAACGGACACAAATAAACACAATCAGAAATGAAAGAGGAGAGATTACAACTGATACCACAGAAACAGAAAAGATTGTAAGAAATTACTATGAAGAACTGTATGCCAAGAAATTTGAGAACCTAGGGGAAATGGACACATTTCTAGAAAAATATAATATCCCAAAACTCAATGAAAAAGTAGAAAACCTGAATAGACCAATAACAGCAAAAGAAATTGAAGTGGTAATCAAAAAACTCCCATCACACAAAAGCCCCAGACCAGATGGTTTCACAGGAGAATTCTACAAAGCATTTAAGGAAGAGCTAACCCTTATTCTTCACAGACTATTCCAAAAAATCCAAAAGGATGGAAAACTCCGAAACTCCTTTTATGAAGCCAGCATCATCCTAATTCCAAAACCAGATACAGATACAACAAAGAAAGAGAACTTCAGGCCAATATCAGTGATGAACATAGAGGCTAAAATCCTCAACAAAATATTGGCAAATCGCATCCAACAATATATCAAGAAGATTATACACCATGAACAAGTGGGATTCATCCCAGGGATGCAAGGATGGTTCAACATTCGCAAATCAGTAAATGTAATTCATCACATAAACAAAAGCAAAGACAAAAACCACATGATCATATCAATAGACGCGGAAAAAGCTTTTGAATAGCTTTTGATAAAGTACAGCACCCGTTTATTATAAAAACACTCAGCAAAGTGGGAATAGAGGGAGCATTTCTCAAAATAATAAAGGCCATTTATGAGAGACCTATAGCCAATATCATACTCAATGGGCAAAAACTAAAAGCTTTTCCACTAAGATCAGGAACAAGACAAGGATGTCCACTTTCACCATTTCTATTCAATATAGTATTAGAAGTTTTGGCCACAGCGATCAGGCAGGAAAAGGAAATAGAAGGCATCCAAATAGGAAAGGAGGAAACAAAACTGTCACTGTTTGCAGATGACATGATAGTGTACATGGAAAATCCTATAGACTCTACCAAAAAACTGCTCAAACTAATTAATGAATTTGGCAAAACAGCAGGATACAAAGTCAATATCCAGAAATCAAAGGCATTTTTTAATACCAACAGTGAATCAGCAGAAGCAGGAATCAAGGAAAAAATCCCATTCGATATAGCAAAAAGAAAAATAAAATATCTGGGAATAAACCTAACTAAGGAGGTAAAAGACCTGTATGCAGAAAACTACACAGCCCTGAAGAAAGAAATCAAGAAAGACACAAACAAATGGAAACATATACCTTGTTCATGGATTGGAAGAATTAACATCATCAAAATGTCCATACTACCCAAAGCAATATACACATTCAATGCAATACCTATTAAAGTACCAATGGCATATTTCACAGACATAGAACAAACACTTCAAAAATTTATATGGAACCATAAACGAGCCCGAATAGCAGCTGCTCTTTTGAGAAAGAAGAACAAAGTAGGAGGGATCACAATACCTGATATCAAACTGTATTACAAAGCCACTGTAATCAAAACAGCCTGGTACTGGCATAAAAACAGGCACATAGACCAATGGAACAGAACAGAGAGCCCAGAAATCAACCCAACTCTCTACGGTCAATTAATGTTTGACAAAGGGGGCAGTAACATAAAATGGAGTAAAGATAGCCTCTTCAACAAATGGTGTTGGGAGAACTGGACAATTATGTACAAAAAAATGAAACTTGAGCACCAACTTACACCATACA